AATAATAATATTAATGTGATAAACAAACTTTTATAACTATCAATTTTAATTTTTTTTAACCATCTAAATAATGAGTAGTGGCAGAAAATGTGTAAATAAAGATATAAATTTTATTTTTTTTATTTAAAGACATGAACTAATTGCTTTAATGATAGAAAAAATACAAAGTTGAGGAAATATCATCAAAAATTGAAAGAAAATCATTTTTAAAAATAAATTAACAGCTACATCATCATTTAACTAGTGATGGAACAGAAAAATACAATTTGTATAGTTGGAGGGGGGCAAATAAGTACTAAAAATAATTTAAGATCCAAAAATATTCAAAATATAAAGTTGAAAGAGTAAAATTCAAATTTAACTTTTCAAAAGCCATGAAGCATCCCCTTGTGGACAACATTCAAACGAGAATATGAACACGGCTTCGTTGTCGGTAAGTAACAATCAAATGCAAAATCAAAGTCCGTGGGAAACCCCACGTCCCCCCTCCGCGTTCCCAAATGAACGCCGAATAATGGCTTTGAAAACCCACGCCAAATTTCAACACCAATAGTACTAATCCAAGTCCATAGAATGCCCACGTCACAAGTCCCACCACCATAGACGCAATTCTGAATTCACACTCTAATGCAATTTCGACTCCAAGGAAGACCCCACCTAATATTCTGGGCGAGAATTTTTAGGTTCAAATGAGGTATGAGAGATTGATCGGAATAAACCACCCATGCTGGTAGTTCTTTCTCATCTTTCTCCCCAAAGAAATGAGATATTCAACGGCAATGTCACAGATTGGGAAGATTGTGAAGATGCTTGTCAAGTTTCATCCATTATTGATAGTAACCAGTCTTATTTGTCGGGTAATACTCATGCAAGATTGGATTGAAGAGGAGGTGAGCAATCAATGGAAAGCTTTCAAGGTGTGTTGCCAATCAACAATGAGATCTCTGTTGGATCCAATTACTGAGAAAATGAAGAATCTATTGAAAGCCCTCCAGATGCATCTTAACCATGAAGCAGAAAAGGGTCAGCCAAAGACCAAACTAATAGGTAAACTTGCCTTGTTTTCTGCCACATTTCTTCTACTGGACACGGAAATAAGTTCAAAATATGACAAAAGAGGGGTTAAAATGCAGTTATTGTTAATTAGTGGACTTGAGCTACTAAAACTTTCAAAACTTTGGAGTCAACTCAAAATTCTCCGAAGGTGCGATTGTGCTACAAATTCAATATCAAACTTCACCTTCTTTATTCTAGCACTTGTTTTTACAAAATTTAATGATAATTCCTTGAGGACCCTTAGTTCAATGTTGTTCATCGCAATTTATTTACTATGTCTACTGGTGGTATTACGACCGCGAACAGATTTTGGATTGTTTAGTTTCATCATGGGAGTAATTGGATCCATTGCTTATAACCACTCCAAGTTCACATTCCCCACATGGATAATTGCCTCCATCTGTTTTGTGTTGTTTAGTTTTAAGAGTTGGTTAGATAAGTACTGGTTGGATTTGAAAGAAGATCAGTTAGTAACCTCTACAAATACCACAACTAGAAGTACCAGTGTGTTTTTGATCCTATCATCAACTGCTATACATATTGCAGGAATCATCTTCGCGTCTTCTATTGTTAAATCTCCCCTGTCCAACTATAAAGTTTGGTTTGCTTGGGTGATTGGTAGCGTGATTTGGAATGTTCAACTCCATAAGTTCTATGTCAAAGATACCTCATTACCCTCCGCAAATACAAAAGGAATCAACAGTTTGATTTTGACCATTATCAATGTTGCTCAAGGCATGTTTGTGTTTTTTATTAAAGCGTCTCCCATGCTGAATTATAAAGACTGGTTATTTGTGGTAATTAGTTATTTGGTTTTCTGTTTTTGGTTAAGAAGCTTTTGCCTCAAAGATCTATCATTGCCCTTTACAAATACCAAAGGAATCAACGGTGTGATTTTATTTTTGAAATCTATTGCCACATACAGTATTGTGGTATTGGCTGGTTTGGAACCACATTTGTACTACAAAGAGTGGCTGGTTGTGGTAACTTGTTATGTGCTTTGGTGGGTTCGGTTACGTACATCATTTCCCAAATATTTGTTACTATCCACTACAGTTGAATTTAAAGCTCTACAGTGGTGGAATTTAATGGTATATCACATGATTTTAGAGGTCACATCTTGGATGATCCAGCTGTCTAAACAAAGGCATTAACAAACAAGGATAAAATCTTGCACACTCAATGGTAAGTACTTGGATACATTAAATTTTTACATTAACTCCTATCATTTTCTTTTTCGAATATATGTTTATTAGAAAAGTGAAGTACTGATGAAAGGGTGGGCTTCTTTTAGTGAGCCCTTGATAAGAGGCCACCCTTCCCTTGATGATTTAAAAAAGTGCAATGTGAGTAGAGTCAATTGTAAAACAACATTCTAGTGCCCTTACTAAAACCCATCGATCATTTGTAATTTTTTAATCATTCAGTGTACCAATTTGAATTTAATGTAGCTAACCTTTTGTTATATAGATATCAAACAGTGCCCCATCATCTTATTTGTACATACTAATAAATTGGATTCTATGTAAATTAACCCACATGTCTTGCATTATGATTATGTAAGTTGTTTTGAAGGATCAGTCCCAAAGAAACCCTGTCTCCTTATGAAGAGGAGATCAAATTTAACTTGCTTTTGCTCTATTATGAAATTCGAATGACTTCATGACTTTATTATTTTTCTAAAGCCCCACGAACAGGTTGGATTTTACAATCTACAAGATTTATTAGTTGGTTGGTCAGCTGGTTTTACTTTCTTTTAATCATTCAAGCTTTGGTCTCCACATTTGTGGATCCTTGCAGTTTTGCTTTGATGAAACCCTTGCTTGAAGACTAACAACAAAAATTTACATTGTTTCGGCATCATCTTGTTCTTCATAATGGATTTTGGTTAAGAAGTTTTTCAAAGGATGAGAGTGGACTAGGGGAGAAGGGGAAGAACAGAATTAGAACATGAACATAACATTGAAATATTCACCTAACAATAGAGGAGAATAAGTTATCCAACTTAGTTTTTTCATTAATCTTTACCGTAGCAGAAACTACAATATAAATAGTTCTTCTCTTCACCTAATATTTGACTGCAATACCGTATACATCCATGAAATAAGAAAAGTCATAACTTTACACCTCAAACTTTGACAAAATGTAAAAGTTTGCTGCCATTTCTTGCGGCTTTGACACCACAACTCCAACAATTTTACTAATCTACGATTAAGTTCTCAATTTTGCTGAATTGAGATGTATAGTAGCATTCCTTGTGAGAAATTTCAATTAAGTAGTGATGGTACATGGAGATGTCTGAACATTTGCAACTTGATGGAGTCTTCGCTCTCTGGCTTTTTCTCTTTTCTTTCTGGTTTAAAAGCAATAAATTTCAGCAATATATTCTGAAAAAGGGAAAAACCAAAAAATCCAGTTTCATAAATGAACTCAACTCCTTTTCTTCTAATCTTGTGATGGAACAACACTATATATCAAACATAACTATCTATGTTAGGTGTGCCTTTGACATGAATTTGACATTCGACTAGGTGTCGAAACTGTTAAATTTCAAGCTATAGTTTATTGATTTTGAGCATGGAATTGTTGCAGAAGATACAAAAAACCATGAGAAATTCGAGGATGTATATGGGTGTTCTAGCCTCTTTTGCATGGTAGGATATGCAGTGCCTTTGTATATGTTAGGCTCAAGATCCTCCCAAATGAATCGACGTAATAAGTTGAGAAGAGAAAATGTTAATGCAATTTTTCTGTATTTCTAAAAGCATCCCCTTGAGGGCATATACAAGCGGAAATAAAATGAAGATCAGAAAGAAGAATGAGATCTCATTAAAACGGTTGGGTAAAAGCACCAGGATAATTCACCAAAAGAAATTAAAAAAAAAAAATGAGAAGGAAGCAAGATAAAATTTTTAAGGTTAAAGTCAATTGTGGTCCCTCAATTTTAGAATTTTATTCAGTTTGATCTTTTAATTTTTTAATATTTTTTTATCCCTTAATTTT